CATCCATCTCTGTTCACAGCAGAGTCTGACAGGCATGGGTAGTCCTCACAGTTCTCTGAGTTCTGCACAGGCCACGTCACTCAGGTCTGTGCTCTCAGGGTCACTGGAAGGTGGGCAAAGGTGAGCAGAGCAGCTGGAAAATGTAGGCAGCAGGTTAACTGGAAACAATTCCTAGAAGGAAAAGGGAGGAGGCCAGAGTGGGAAGCATCTGAAGGCTGAGTGATAAAACAAGAGTGGAGAAAGGCAAAATTAAGAAGCCTCTCCCCCTATACAGTAACCCTCTGCAGTGGGTAGTCACAGATCCTTGGGGGTCAGCTCTTGGGCTGCAGCATGATGAGGAAAACATGGAAAGTTTCTGGTGAGCCTGGTCCCATGGTTCTTGTACATGTGCCAACAGGCTCCGGGAGTAAGAATTAGTGTGTGCTGTGGGGGTGGGAGGGGGAGTAGGAGAAGAACTCACAGGCTCACCCCTTTTTGTACTCATTAGAAATTAACAGTCACCAGAGAAGTACAGATAAGAAACTATTCTTAAGAGAAGGGAAGAACTTGATGTAAACCCAGGAAAGTAGCAGCAAAGGTTTCACTTATTAAAGATTATGTAGCACTAAGAAAGAAAATCATTTGACTTGGATAGAGATAAAGTAATTAACCAAACCATACCAGTTAAAGACTTTTTTTCAAGTTAGGATTTTCTGTCTTTAGGTTCTCATTCTCTTGTGCCATAAAAGAAGAAAAAAAAAGAGTAAATTAATAACTTCAGGAGCTGAAGGGTTAGGCTAAGAAACACATGTGTGAGCAGCAGTGTGGCATAGATCTGAATTAATAAGAGTAAGTAGTAAGTGGGGCAATGTTTTCTTTTTCCACAGTAACAACAACAACAACAAAAAAAAATAAATACATTACTTCAAATATTTCCCTGTTTGCGGGGGGGTGGAGGGCATGGCAGAAGAGAAGTACATGTCTGGACACCTCATTTCTGCCATCTCTTCTTCGGGTTAGAATTCTAGTTTACTGCTTACATGCTCTTGTCCTGGTACTAAAGCCATGTCCAGAAGCAGCTGGGAAGCCCTGGTGGTTCTTCTAGGGGTGCCAATCTCCATCTAGATGATCTGGTTAGAGATGTAGAAAAGAAGCCCGAATCGCCAGTCAAGGACATGGAGTTCCTCATACAAAGAGGAAAGTAAACCTCCTCAGGTGTGAGGCAGCTGTGGTTATGTGCTCAGGACAGATGTTGACCTTGAGGCAAAGGACCTCAGTTCTAGAACTGATTTGTTCCTTTCTTTTGAGCCTCACATACCATTTCCCCATGCCAATTTTTCAAAATTAGACACTCGAAAACACACAAAATAAAAAGGTTTACTTGCTCATGGTTTTCCCTAAAAGGGCAATAAACTACTCTGGCTGAGCAAACACTGAGACTCAACATCTGTCAACTGAACTCTATAATGGCTTAAGCAAATAGCATGTGAAACAGAGATGGACATTTTCTAGCATTTCACATGTAAGTTTGTCCAAAAAACTTTTTCCTGAAAATTAATTGTAATTCTCTTGGGATTCCTAAGGTTCCCTCAGACTCAGCTGAGAGATTTCATACTGACTTTCCTAATAATCAAAAAGCTTCAGAGGCACAGAATCAATATTCCTAGGAATAAAAGTGGAAGCCAGGTGTGATGGCACATGCCTATAAACCAAGCATCTTGGGAGTCTGGTCAATTTAGCAAGACCCTATCTTAAAAGGAAAAAAAAAAAAAAAGACAAGCTGCAGAATACCTTCATACAAAACATCTGCCTCATATGGTAGTTTTTGGCAGGGAAAAATTTATCCCAAGAAAGAAGGCAAGGTTAGAGCAACTGGTGCTTAAGTGGTCTATTCTCTTTGCTGGAGAATAAAGATGTTAAGTTAGGAAATTTGGCTAAAACTATTACAGTCACATTTTATTCTCAGATTACTTGGGTCAATTATATGCTATTGACAAGTTCATCAGCTTTCTCTTTCAATTAAAATTTATGATAGAAATAAAGGTAAGGAGAAACTGAGACTGACTCTGTTTTCTCCTCAACCTCCTACTGTTTTAGATTTCTTTGGTTCAAGATCTAAGAGGGTTAGGGATTCTGCCTCAAGACTTTCAACCAACCATTCTATACTTCCTCTCACAGGAGACTTGGCTAACTTACATTGCTTGGGGTTGTGGTGTTTGAAATCCTGGAACTGGCAGGCAGAAAGAGGAGGAATCTTTCTGTAAAATGCTCCAGAGCTCAGAGTATACCAATCAAAGAGTCTGTCAGCCAGGAGGCACCATAAGGAGGGCACTTTCCTTTAGACCCTTTCTCTCACTGTGGCAACTGGTATGAGCAGCCTGTGAGGACTAAAGTGCAATAAACACTCTATGTCCAAGGACCGATCATGACCCACGAGTGTTCTTTTCCCAACAACACTGCCACCTAGAAGGATATGCTGCCCTCACAGGAAGGAAATAAATCACCCTCTTCAGTTACTACTCTCACACTTCCTAAAAACTTCAAGCCAAGGCAGATTCCACTGCTTATGTTGTTTAGTCCCCTATGGCATCAGTAGGCTATCAGACCAATAATACACTTTACAAGGTAATAAGAGATGGGTCACTGTAGCATTATGGCTATATTGCACAATTCAAATAAGTCTAGAAAGCCACACACAAAAAAAAGCATCATAAAATTATTCACCAAGTTTCCCTCTAAAGTATTTAATACAAGGGATATGTGAAATTTCTGACTTATGTCTGCTAAATTAACTTAATGGATGTGGAAATAAGACTGGAAATTTACAAAAACAATTTATGGAATACTTTTACATCTAGTAAAAGGAGAAAACATTTTTAACACAAAGCACAATGTGCTTTTGCATTCCAAATATTGGAAAAACCAAGTCAGATCCCCTTATTTCTCATATACAACAGTTTGATTTTAAACTCAATTAAAATTCAGTAAGCAAACATCAAAGCACATTCAATGAAAAATGGTTCAAGCCACCTGACAGCTACTAAATTCAAGGCTGTCCTCAATGGTTTACCTGAATCAGGACAAGAACTCAAAGAAGCAGCTACACTGGAGACATCTGAGAATAAATCAGCAGCATTATTGAGGGTGAGATGGAGGCTTTAAATAGAGGGTCAGGATAGGTGTGGGAAGGATAAGGTGATATCAGTAAAAAAAAAAAAAAAAAACACCCTGAAATCACCTCAATGGGGCTGATGAACGCAATGTAAAAATATTGATGTAGCAAACTCTGCTAGAAAATGAAATGGATAAAACTATGAGAAGGCTGTAAAAAGTAAATGATCCGTATACTCAAGAACTTTCTCCAGAGACCCTTCAATAATTTCTTCTTGCTCGCCCACAGCTTCACAGCAACAGCTTTAAGGGAAGCTTTTTACTTATTCTAAATCTCTTCTGTTTACTCTGTATTTTTTCATTATAAAAGACATATTTGAGAGTGGCTATGAAATAAGACCAATGGACCAATAAGGTGTTCCTAAGGAAAATTTTTCCCACGTGAAGCTTTTCTGAATTCTCAAAACCATTTCAGAGCTGGGTGTGGTTATGCATGCCTGTAATCCCAGCAACTTGGGAGGCTGAGGCAGGAGGATCACAAGTTCAAAGCCAGCCTCAGTAACTTAGTGAGGCCCTAAGCAACCTAATGAGACCCTATCTCAAAAAAATAAAAAAGGCTGGGGGATGTAGCTTGGTGGTTAAGTGCCTCTGGGTTTAGCTTAGTGGTAGAATGCTTGCCTAGCATACTAGCATACATAAAGCCCTGGGTTCAAGCTCCAGTACCAGTACCACAAGGAAAAAAAAAAAAAAGTATTCCAAAGGCTGAAACAGGAAACATTCTGATGTCAGGACCTTTCCCACATGACCAAACTTACCATGTAATCCTAGCATATTCATCATCTGGTGTAGGTGTAAATTGGCATAAATAATGTGTATTTTCTTCCAAGCTTGATGGGCCTGAAGCTTCCTGAGAAAGAACAAGGCTCTTGCCTGACCATAAGTCATACCCCCTTGGACTTTTGTTCTCTTTCACTTGACTTGTTTTTGGCTCAGATGGGCTGAAATTTGACTTCATAGCAGGTAACACCAATGCAAGCCTAGAACCTGCACATGGGTACACCCTTTGCGGAGAGAAACAGCATTTTCAAGACTTTTGATATACCAGTGAATAATAGGGTTGCTGAAACTTTTAAGTAAAGAAGTTAATAGTCTCAACTCAGGCAATTCAAATCTATATTTACTGTCTGATCTAGGTTTTATTGTCAGTTTGCTCAGGCATTAAAAAAAATAGCCATACTTTAGAGCAGATGGCCTGTAAATATTTCTCTCTTTTAGTTCTCTTTGAACAGGCGACCTGAGGATCTTAATATTATTAACCACATCTGGAAGTGTATGTATGCATATATGTATTTGTATGTGTGGCATACATCCAGGAGAGTGGGTTTCTAAAAAATATATTCCTGTGAGGCCCGGAAGTCCACTCCTTTAATCTCAGTAACTCAATAGGCTAAGGCAGGAGGATCACAAGTTCAAGGCCAGCCTAGGCAACTTAGTGAGATTGTCTTAAAAAAAAAAAAAAAAGAGGGCTGAGGATATATTTAGTGGTAAAACATCCCTGGGTTCAATCCCCAGTCACATACAAAAATAATAACAAAAATAAATTAAAAAGATATATTCCTGCTGGATGCAGTGGTGTGAGCCCATAGGCCCAGCTCCTTGGGAGGATCATTTAAACCCAGGAGTTCACAATCGGCCTGGGTAACATAGTGAGACCCCCATCTCAAAAAAACAAGAGGGAGAGAAAGGGAGGTGGTGGTGGGGAGACAGAGAGACAGGCGGGGAGGGGGGGGGGGAGGGAGGGAGAGAGAAAGAGAATAAATATTCCTTATAATTTGAAAAGAAGATAAGGAGAAATGGAAAAAATAATCTGAACTTTTAAAAGGGCATAATAAAATAGGATTTAAAATATATTTAATGTGGTAAAATACATTTAATGTGGACCCTTTCATTTGATCATTTTCTACATCAATGGGATAAATAAATCAGACTTTTTCTTATATATGCTGGTAGAACTAGTACCTTCGGCATTTAAAAAAAAGGCTTTTAATAATAAGGATCATTCAAAAGATGATCTAATATCATAGTGGATTGCACATCAATGTCTTAAAAGATCCCTTGCCCCAAATCACCCTATTAAAAAAATTACATAAGGTTTCTAACCTTGGGGTTCAGAAATCTTCTGAAATTTTCCCTCATCCTCTATGATTTTCTTTGTGGGGGAGACTTTTTTTTGGACTTTGAATCATGGGTTCTGAACTCCTTCCTTCAGCTCTGGTGCCTGGACAGACATTAAACTCTACTTCCTCTCAGGGTGTTCTTTCAGCTGCTCCAATGCCTTCACTTGGCTACTTACCCTGTTAACACTGATGTTATATGGCCATTCTTATATTCCTGATGAGCTATGATGGGGGAAAAAAGAAACTGACTGGCTAGTCTGCACAGATCCTCTAGCAGCATTCCTGATAAACAAAATAACCTCTCAGACACAAGTTAGATAATCATGCCCAGATTCAGTGAACATATGATAATGTTAATCGTTAACGTCTGAGCTTGGTTGGTTGGTACTTTTCAGGCTGTTTTGGGATCTGCCATCTACTCTTCACTAACTGCATTTCTCTAATAAGTTAGTGGAGGTTGACAAAAAATTTGCAAAGGGAATACTGGGGATATCATGTAAATTATCATGTATCGTAAGATAAAACAGAAATGAAAAGGCAAAGTTTGTTTTCATCAAAATAGGTTTAGCTTGATTTCTTCTCATAACTTTTCTTACTTTTGTTAAGATCTCCCTCAGACTGGCAAAGATTCAGGCAGGGTCCCCTAATGGTAAAATTTAGAATTAAAAAAATATTTATTGATGTTTTTTTTTTCCAAAAATGTTTGATAACCCCAACTAATCATTCAAAATGCAAACTGTAAACACAAAAGAGTAACAGTTGAGTGTGAGTAGACAGACTATGAACAGGTATGACAGACTGAGCAAAAGTGCAGGAAGGGAGAAAGGAAGACAGATGCATAAGTGTGATACAGATAGTGACAATTTGAGTGAATAAGTAATCATATTTGGACCACAGTGATTTCAGTGTAGCCATTTAGGAAACCCCTGGGCCAAATACTAAAACACGGCAGGAATGGACAAGCCTTCTTTGTGAGCATGCTCAGCATGTTGGCATAGAAACAGGAAGCACAGAAGCTCTGTAGTCATCTTAAAATGGATGGCTACCATTTCTAGGATGCAAATAAATTTTCTTTCTGGTCCCTGGATACATCATTTGTTGTTTTTCCATGCTTCCCTTGACCCTGAAGGACTGTAGTTACTGTTCCAAAATCCCCAAAGAAACCCCTTAACAAAATAAAGAAACCACAGTAGCAGTAACAATGGGTTTGCTGGAATGCCCCCTCCCTCTACCTTGGCCTATGATTTTCTTCCGGGCATGTCCAACAGAAATGGTTAAGTTTTACCAATCCACTTAAAGCCAGCACAAATTTTAGTCCCATGGTCACAGCTAGAGTGGATGGGAGTAAGGGTGTGTATGCATATGTATGTGTGGCTCTGGGGATCTGAACACTGCCCTCACTTTGTAATCCTTGTCCAGAACACAGGTTGCTTCCTCTGGAGAGACTCCACGGTAACTCTAGAAGTGTCAGTTAAATATTCAGTTCACCAAAGTTGACCACCTCCATTGTCATAGGATGATGCAGCATCTGCAGAAGCGCTGTCTGCTGCCCCCTACTGATGGGGGTGGAGTGACAGGTGCGAAGTAGGCATGGACTTTAATATTGGGTAAATGGGTCTGAAACAAGACAAAAACATTACTAAGATAGAGAACATTGCTTCCGAGAAAAACCACTGAGGGGCTGAATGGACATGAAAGCAGGGCAGAAGATTTGTCCCCTTCTATGCTGTTCTAAATAATCAAGTCAACTCATAACTTCTTTTTTTGGTACCAAAAATTGAACCCAAGGGTACTTAACCACTGAGGCACATTCCCAGCCCATTTTATTTTAAATTTTGAGACAGAGTCTTGCTAAGTTGCTCAGGGCCTCACTAAATTGCCAAGGCTGCCTTTGAACTTGCAGTCCTCCTGCCTCAGCCTCCCAAATTCCTGGGATTACAGGTGTGTACCACTATGCTCAGCTCAACTCATAACTTTGATACTTTTTTTTTTTAAATTGTCACCATTTTATTAGCAGGAGACAGGGGCCGACTGCTTTTGCTCTGTGGTTGGTCAGCAGCCATGGGGAGGCAGAGTGCCTGCTGTGTGCCTCAGGCCTTCACTTCCATGCCTGCCTGCTTTCTAGCTTGGGCATTTAAGGTCACATTTATTCTCAACTGGCAAATTCTGATGCCAAGGGTATTGTGGCAACTGCTCACTTAGGTTTCAGAATACCACTGATCACAGGCTCAGCGGTAGAGCGCTCCCCTAGAACGGGCATGACCCAGGTTTGATTCTCAGCACCACATAAAAATAAAATAAAGATGTTGTGTCCACTGAAAATTAAAAAATAAATATTAAAAAAATTCTCTCTAAGAATACCATTGTTCACACTCTTCACAGAATCAGACACCTTTCCACTGAGTTTGATAACTGTTTTTAACAAAACTGGAGAACATAGGTGTGATGGATCATGCCTGTAATTCCAGAGACTTGTCTCAGGGTTCAAAATGAAAAAAAAAAAAAGGACTGAGGATACATTTGAATGGCAAAACGCTGCTGGGTTCAATCTCCAGTACTTAAATAAATTAAAAAACAAAAATCAGAAAAAGGGTTTGATGTAAAGAGGAAAAACAGGCTGAATTTATAAATCTTATATTATTTAATCAAACATTTTATATTAGTTTTTTCCTTTCCTTTAGAACCAAAATCTGGTATGTGCTTCTTCTTCTTTTTTTTTTTTTTTTGACTCTGGGGATGTGATTAAGCTCTGGACATTACTGGACAAACTGCTGGGAGAAGACCTACTTTATCTCTTCAGTGGGTATTGTTCTACTAAATTTCCATCTGGAGCCACAGGTAAAAACTATCTACCCTTACATTTTCTCTCCATTTTTTTTCCTCCTTACTAAATGTCCAAATAAATATAAAAATCAGGAGAATCTAAATTTGGAAAAATAAAAATGAAGGAAAATAAAAGAAAGGGTGGTGAGAACACCAGAGCTCGAGAGTGATGAAGCCATTTTTACCCTGAGTCTCTTGATTCCAGCCCGTGTGATTTGCTGGCAGTCATATAGTTCTATCCGCTCAAGGCTGTGACAGCTCTTCAAGTGCTCCAAGGATGCATCTGTGATTAGTGGGCAGTTGTCCAGCTCAATCACCTCCAGCTGGTCATGGGCGCAGGCCCCATTTCCTAGGTGACGAATTCCATCATCTGTGATCAGTTCACAGTGAGATAGACTCTGTGGCCAAATAGAGCAAAGAAGGATGCTGAAATATTTTCCGGAAGTCGGTTAGCCAGAAACTTGTGTACAATCAGATAGAAGACCTTTTTGGTTTGATTTTGATGATTATGGAACTTTCACTAGATCCATGTGTGATGAAATAAAGAATGCAAAATAGAGTTGCATGGGTTCTGCTTTTGGCAACCAATGACTGATATTTTTGTGTGTGATTCTAAACATATTTTGTAAATTCACATAATGACCATGAACTACTTCATAAACAAAGTTACATAACTTTAAAAATTACCCTCTACCCAAATTAACACTTTTCTTCTCTAGGGGGATAAGCAGAGATCAAACTTTTCATATACAAAATTTCCTGAAATAAAAATTGAATATCAAGTGCAGGGGTATGCCCAACAATTAATTAGCTGAAGACAATTTTTACATCTCACATGTAACTCTTCATCAATTTTCCTTAGGTTTCTGAATCTGAGAGACTTGGAATCCTTGGCCCAATTTTGGATATTACCTTTCGACCAAATACACCACAATGAGCCTGGATAGGATCAACCAAAATCCCTTCCTCAAAGTAGTACCAAAGAGAACTTCCCCTGTAAAGCCTGATTGGTCCCCATTTTACTTTTTAGGTCTTTCCTAGATCTTTTGGAAGTTGGCAATTTTGAGAAGCATACTCCCATACCAAAAACTGGAAGCCAGACAGTTAAGAGGAAAACAAGAGCTGGATCTTATTTAACTAGAACTACAGTACTGCTTTTTGTTGTTGTTGGGGTAGGGAGTACCAGGGATTGAACTCAGGGGCACTCAACCACTGAGCCACACACCCCTAGCCCTTTTTTGTATTTTATTCAGAGACAGGGTCTCACTGAGTTGCTTACTGCCTTGATTTTGCTGAGGCTGGATTTGACACCTCAGTCTTCCAAGCTGCTGGGATTACAGGCGTGAGCCACCACGCCTGGCAGTACTGTTTTGATTAAGCCAAACAAACATATACAACCTTGAAAGTCAAACTCACCAATACTTGAAGTCGAGGACAGTGTACAGAAAGTTGGATTAACGTGCTATCTGTTATCTGAAAGAAACACATGTTTATTTTAGGCATAATTCTAAATAAAACTACAGGTTATACTTCATTCTTACTGTATTTCAACAGAATCTTTAGGTTTAATTCTCATAGACTAACTGAGTCTATTCTTTTTTTAAAAAAATATTTGTGAGCGCTCTACAGCTGAGCCACAACCCTAGCCCTATCTGAGTCTATTCTGTAAGAACTCCCTAGGCTAGGCTTGAACACATTTAGGTTTCTCTAAAAGCCTTCATCTTTTTTTTTTTTTTTTGGTGGTGGTGATGGTACTAGGGATTGAATCTAAGGCCTGTGCATGTTAAGCAAACATCCCAGTATTGAGCTACTATTATCTGAAAGAAACACATGTTTATTTTAGGCATAATTCTAAATAAAATTACAGGTTATACTTCATTCTTACTGTATTTCTAGTCTTTTGAAAATTTTATTTTGAGAAAGGATCTTGCTATGTTGTCCAGGCTGACCTTGAATTTGCAATCCTGGGTGTTTCCTGAGTAGCCTGTATTATAGGGGTGTTCCACTGCATTTGGCTCTAGTCTTCATCTTTGGATATTTTTGCTCAAAATTCTGTTTTGTTTTTGAAATGAAATCGAAATGTTGTCCCCTTGTTACTTCTATCCACTTCTTGGAACCATCAAAGAAAATAATCAGAAGAAAGTGCTGAACTGGGTGCAGTGGCACAAGCCTATAATCCCAGCAACTCAGGAGGAGGCTGAGGCAAGATGATTCCAAGTTCAAAGACCGCATCAGAAACTTAATGAGGCCTGAGACCTTGTCTTGAATAATAAAATGGCTGGGGATGTGATCAGTGGTAAGGTGCCTCTGGGTTCCATCCTCAATACAAAATAAATAAATAAATAACAAAGTACTCCATGAAAAAGAAAAAAATTAAAATCAAAGCATCCTCAAATTTTTGGATATTTGGCCTATTTTTTATTATTAATTTATTTATTTTTGTAGAATCAGGGAATTAACCCAGGGTTGCTCTACCACTGAGCTTTATCCCTGGCTCTTTTTTTATTTTTAATTTTGAGACAGGATCTTGCTAAGTTGCTGAGGCTGGTCTTGAACTTTGTAGATTCCTGCCACAGTCTTTCAAGACACTGGGATCACAGGTGAGAACCACCTGACCTGCTTGATATTTGGCCTCATTTTAATAAGGCACACTATGACTCAGAATTGATAACATGGATGTTAGTTATGTTACCAAGGGAGGCACATAGGCACTGCTAGGATCAGGGTAAACTATGTACATTCAGGGAAGAAGAATGGCTTTTTTTAGTTATCACAGGAATGAAAGCAAATCAGTGCTTCTTTTCAAATTCATCTTCAATTCTTTAAGAAATTGTGGATGGAGCGGGTCCATTGAGAAGGACTACCTCTGGAAAGGACATAGAAGACACTCAGGTGTGTACAAGAGATAAACAGAGGCTGGATGCTGTGGTGCATGTCTGTAATCTCAGCAATTTGGAAAGCTGAGGCAGGAGGATCACCAATTTGAGGCCAGTCTCAGCAATCTAGTGAGACCCAGTCTCCAAAAACAAAACAAAACAAACAAATAAACAAAGGGCTGGGGAATGTTGTTCTGTAATTAAAAAAGTATTTTTCTTTATTTTATTTTTGGGGATACTGAGGATTGAACCCAGGGGCACTTTTACCATTGAACTACATTCCAATCTTTTTTTTTTTTAAATTGTTACTGAGGCTGGCTGCCCTTGAACTTGGAATTGTCATGCCTCATATTCCTCAATCAGTGGGATTACAGGTATACGTTGCTGCATCCAGCTTTATTTATTTGTTTTTAAATGTGGTTTGGCTATGTTTTCCAGGCTGACACAAACTCTTGGGCTCAAGAGATCCTCCTGCCCCTTGAGTAGCTGGAACTACTGTAGTGTACCACCACACTTGGCAAAAGAAAATACCTTAACAGCTTTATGGCCTGAAAGGTGTCCTTTCTAATGGTGACATGATTGATGGAATGTATTTTCATAGTTCTTTAACACCTATGTCATAAGCACTTCTGCCTAGTGTGCCTAGAAGACACATCAATAAATGAAGAATCAGTAGGGCTGCCAGGTATTTCAGTAGTATTCCTACACTAGGGTAGGGAATGGACATTCTGATGTGCATGTATTATGTAATTAGTTTCTATCACACTGCATTTGTGAATATAAATCCACAATCTTACCTGAACACATTCTTCCAGGTCCATCTTTTCAAGCTCATGGCAATTCTACAAAGTATAAAACCAAACAATACAATACAACCATTTTAAACAAGGGAAAACTTTAAGGCCAGAAAACTGAAAGTTTATATTAAATATACTGATGAAATCTTAGTTTTTCAGAATTGGTATCATTCTAGTGTCACCTTCTATTTTATTTCATTAATTACACATTTTATACTTTGATCATAGTGAAATATCTCAATTATCCCACATTTAAATATTTATTATCTTAAACATTCAAGGGAATAAATGTGCCAAACAGTAACACTGGGCCAATATAGAGATATTTTCAAACATAAATAATTCAATAAAAACTGTTTCTTGGGAAGAGAGGAAGCAAGCTTCACTTTAGTTAAGTGTCCTGGCTTTCACCCAACTCCATTGATCTACCTGAAAGCAAATGACCTCCCCCTTGTTGGATAACATTGGTCAAAGTCAGTATAATTTTAAATGATATTATTATATACTGATTTATAAACCATTCCAAGTCTAATCTTCAGAATACAGAAAATAATTAAAGCCTTTCCATTTAAAAACTAGGCTTTCAACACTGCTCTCACCTACTAGTCACATATCAAATAACAAGTTTCTTTCAGCTGCTTAATTTATCATCTTATGAAACTGTGGAGAACTTTAGTTTCATGGAGGAGTGTCATGCTCCCCAGTGCATGTCTGAATTTCCAGAACAGTTTGTTTTCTTACTGGTATCAACAGGTCTGTAGCTGTAGCATGAGAATGCTCAGGAAGACTAGCTACAGAAGAAGGCCCCCTTCTCACACACCTAATTCTGCCATGCTACATTTCCCTTGGTGCTTGTTCTTCTGAAATAAAAATACCCAACAAAACATAAGAAAATAAACCTATGAAACCTGGAGAAAATACTTACTCTGGCTAGAGTGGTAAAGCCCACATCTGTTAATTGAGAACATCTTGCCACTTCTAATATTCTGTTAAAAAAAAAAAAAAAACACCAAAAAAGTGGAAGTCAAGCTATTGGTCCCTAAAAATTGGTTTTATTAAAACAAAATTTAAGAAAACAATTTATTATTCTCTAAGGATTTCATAATATAGAGAGACATTAATAGCTAAGCAATCTATATATGGATCTTGCTATTTATTGTTGTGGAGTCATCATAAAGTGGTCCTATAAATACCACATTTCAGGGTGATGCAATCAAAGAACAGAGAGGAATAAAATTGAAGCTTGTAGTTATGCCAAAATGCATTAAAAGCCTTCTTGATGGCATACTGCTTACCCCCAGAGGGCAGCCTGCTCCTAGAAAACAAAGGAAATGGCGATAAATATTCTATATTATTTAATCTGTTACTGAAATAAGATTTTCTTTCCGTTTTACATGTGGGTTCACTCAGATTTCAATACCTTTTAAAAAATGTAATGAAGGGACTGTTTAATTACAGGTCTGTCCCAAATATGAAAATCCATACTTAGAAAGCTTTCTGCTTCCTCCCATAGGCTCCCAAGGGAACCCAATGAAAAGGGAAGCTGTGCTGGCAGCTACTCTCCTATTTAGCAACTGTTACACACCAACCTAAACACCAATTAAAGGCTTGGGAATCAAAAGTAGAAATGAATGCTGTATCCAATGAAAGAGCAACTAACTGAAACACATTTTGTGATGGTCACATTTGACAGCCTTTCCAGGCTAATGATATAATGAGGTTATATCATTAGAGGGAGGATGGAGCTGAATACCCCTTGCTTTAATACAGGAAAGGATAGTGTTTAATATTTTAGAGAGAGGTCTGGTTACTTCCCTATCTCCTAAGAAGTACTCTGTTTTAGACTTCTGATATTATTGATTTTGACCAAAACGAATCTATCATCTATGAAGGAATTTTGATACTGAAGGCAAAATGTTCACCAGCTAAAAAAGTTTTTTAAAAATTTTATTGCTTTTCAATGATTATTATGTGTAAGAAAAGTAGTTTCATGGGCTCTGGAGGCAGACTGCCTGGCTTTGAATCCTTGCTCCTGCACTTACTGGCTGTGACACCCTGAGCAGGTTACTTAACTTTTTGGGGCTTGATTTTCTCATTTACAATGTGATGATAACAATACTGATTATATGATGTTATGAAGATTAAATGAATTAACATTTGAAAGTACCTAAAACAATGCTTAACTTCTAAGTATTATACAGGTAATATTTAAAACAAAACCAAAACGAAAAAGGTATATGGGGATCATCTCCATTCATTACAAGATTCTCATGTGCTCTTTACAAAATCAATATGGATTTTACATACTAATACAGAATTCTTACATACTAATTCTTACATACTAATACAGAATTCTTAGTAGATAACCAGCCAATCCCATATATGAGCTAACAGAAGGAGCCACAGAAAAATAAGGCTGTTCTAAAAGACTGTCAACACAAAAAGTTCCTCTTGTAAAGTTGTTTCTTCTTTTTGAATACTGTCTGCTATGTACCTGGCATCATAACTACAACATAAATGACCCGAGAGTGAGTCTTTAAAATTATCTTTGAGAAAAGAATTATATAAAGCATTAATTAAAGAAAATATCTTTATTTCATTAAAAACATTGTTTTTAGATGTTGATGAACCTTTATTTTTTATTCATTTATTTACATATGGTCCTGAGAATTGAACCCAGTGTCTAACACATGATAGGCAAGCGCTCTACCACTGAGCCACAACCCAGCACCTTATTTCATTTACTTACTTACTTATTTATTTTTATGTGGTGCTGAGGATTGAACCCAGGGCCTCTCATGTGCTAGGTGAATGTGCTACCACTGAGCCACAATCCCAGCCCCCTTATTTCATTCTTAAGAAATGAAATAAATGCTTTTTTTTTCTTTTCTTTTCTAGTATGAATAGCAAGTAGAATTTTGGAACCGCTGTTTCTTGGTTCATGCCAATTACACATAATGAAGTACAAAGCAAGTCGGTGGGCATCAAAAAGGACAATGACTTGTAATGTCTATCTTAAAATTTCAAAGTTCCAAAGAATAAATGAGTGAAGTAGACTTTTGTTCTTTTTCCTTGATTTTTTTGCACTAGAGAAGAAATGTTTACCTAAGTCGAGGGCAGTTCTGACCTAGAGCATTCAGGATGGCATCTGTGATGTTGGAGCAGCCAGAGGCACAGAGGGACTGTAACTTATGGCACCCTCTGCAAATAGTAATGAGACCTTCATCTGTGATTTGCTAAAAAACAAGGGGGAAAAAAAACCCCACAGGTATTAGTAATTTAGCAGACGAAAAATAAGGAAAAATAACATCTCTATGAAAACAACACCAAAAAGAAATCTAGGCAGGTTTGATATTAATCAGATCGTAAACCTAAAAGAAAATGAACACACTTTGTTTCTTCTTTCTAGTTCCTTTTGATTTAGTTGCAAGAGAATCTGGGTTTGCTTTTGGTATAAAGGCAAGAAGCTATAATGGGATTCTTTTAACTTAATAAGAATGGAAATAAGCATGGGGTAAATTCAATTAAATGATTTTAAAACCTAGAAAACAGACAAGAACTGCAGTACTTTAATAGTATAAACATATTTATTTACAAGTTCAAACTGAAACTGGTTGGAGGAAAAAATAAAACTCTGGCTGGGTATAGTGGCACAGGCTTGTAATATCAATGACACAGGAGGCGGCTAAGGTAGGAGATTGCAAGTTTGAGGTCAGTTTTAGTAACTTAGTGAGGACCCAAGTAACTTAGGGAGATCCTGTCTCAAAATGAAAAACAAGCTGGGCACGATGGGTGGGGAGACTGAGACAGGAGGATTGTAAGTTCAAAGCCAGCCTCAGCAATGGCGAGGCTTTTAGCAACTCAGTGAACCCTGTCTTTAAATAAAATACAAAAATAGGGCTGGGGATATGGCTCAGTGGTTGAGTGCCCCTGAGTTCAATCCCCAGTACCAAAAAGATAAAAAAAAAATAATGAAATAATAATAATGATAATAATAACAATGAAATGCCTGGAAAAATAAAAATAAAACCCCCCCAAATGCTGGGGATATAGCTCAGTTGAAAAATGCCCCTATGGGGCTGGGGATGTGGCTCAAGCGGTAGTGCGCTTGCCTGGCATACGTGCGGTCCGGGTTTGATCCTCAGCACCACATACAAACAAAGATGTTGAAAGAAAAGAAAAGAAAAATGTCTCTAGGTTCAATCCCCAGTACCCAAAACAAACAAGCAAAAACAAAACACCTGTGGATGATAGTTGCTATCTCAAAACAGCATCCATTTTGCTGTTTGAATATTAAAATATAAAGAACATCCTAATTAATGGAGACAAATAGTTGTGTTTAACTCAGATATAATCATACATTATTTAAAATGATTTTATCTCAAATTACTTTAAATGAAAAAAAAATACACATTTAAGGATATCATAATAAAAAAGTTACATATAAACATCTAACATAATAGAGTTTATCAGCACTTCAATTTGTCTGGCTAGATTCACTAACTGTATAGGCCTAAAAGTAAAGCTCCACTGCCATCACTATTTAATCAAGCAATGTTGTTAAGTAGCAAGGACAATAGCAACAAGTAATAAAAATAAAAACCCAACTTTTAATAGCCATTGTTTAAATAAGCATCTTCTTAATATCATACAAACAAAAAAATACAGTTAAAAAAATCTGGATGTTGCTAGGCCTGGTGGCACATGCCTTTAATTTCAGAGACTCAGAAGCTAGAGGCAAGAGGATTCCAAGTTCAAGGCCAGCTTAGGCAATTTTGTGAGATACTGTCTCAAAATAAAAAAATAAAAATTCAAGCAACTGGGGAGACTGGGGCAGGAGGATTGAAAATTTAAGGCCAGTTTGGACAAGATTGCATGTCCTAAGCAACTTAATGAGATCCTGTCTCAAAAAAAGGTTGGGGATATAGTTCAGTGGTAAAGAATCCCTGGATTCAATCTCTAGTAGAAAGGAAAAAAAAAAAAAGATGCCCAGGCAAATACATGATTTGTCATCAGTATAAAATAATGAGGTGCTGGGGTTGTGGCTCAGTGGCAGAGCGCTTGCCTTGCACGTGTGGGGCATTGGGTTCAATCCTCAGCACCACATAAAAATAAAGATTTAAAAAAAATAATGAAGTCTACATATGGGTGAAAGTACCCAAAAAAGCGCTACACAAATGATATGTTGCATTGTTATTACTAGATAAACAGGAATCAAACATGTAGATTCAGCAGGACAATGAAATTTGTGCTACACAATATTATAGAAAAAGTATTGGGGGCTGGGGATGTGGCTCAAGAGGTGGCGCGCTCGCCTGGCATGCGTTCGGCCTGGGTTCGATCCTCAGCACCACATACAAGCAAGGATGTTGTGTCCACCAAAAACTAGAGAGATAGATATTAAAAAATTCTCTCTCTCTCTTAAAAAAAAAAAGAAAAAGAAAAAGCATTGTAGGATTGTGCTGCCTCTTCCTTCTTATGTTTTATAGTCTCACTGGATGCAATGGTATATGCCCATAGACTCAGCCAAACAAGAGTCTGATTGAGGTAGGAGCATTGATTGTCTGAGCCAAAGTGAGGCCATCTCTTAAAAGAAAAAGCCTATAGGACAGTACTGAGGAAAATCACATTGCCTGTACTTCAATTAAATTTAAAAAATTTTTTTTTTGGTACTGGGGATTGAACTCAGGGGCACTCAACCACTGAGCCACATCCCCAGCCCTATTTTGTATTTTATTTAGAGACAGGGTCTCACTGAGTTGCTTAGTGCCTTGCTGTTGCCGAGGATAGCTTTGACCTTGCCATCCTACTGCCTCAGCCTCCCAAGCTGATGCGATTACAGGCTTGTGCCACTGCACCTGGCTTAATTAAAAATTTAAAAATAGTAAAATTTGTGGGGCTGGGGCTGTAGCTCAGCAGCAGACTGTTGCCTAGCACTCACGTGTGAGGCACTGGGTTCAATCCTCTGCACCACACAAAAATGAACAAATAAGGCTGGGGTCGTGGCTCAGGGGTAGAGCACTTGCCTAGATTGTGTGAGGCACTGGGTTTGATTCTCAGCACCACACATAAATAAATGAATAAAATAAAGGTCCATCAACATCTAAGAAAAAAAAAAAGAACAAATAAAATAAATGTATGCTATCCATCTACAACCTCAAACATAAAAAAAAAAAATTTAAAAAAATATTACTGGACACTTAAAAAAAATGGTAAGATTTGCCAGGTGTGGTGGCACTGTAATCTCAGTGACTTGGGAAGCTGAGGCAGGAGGATCACAAATTCAAAGCTAATAATTTAACGAAGCCCTAAGCACTTTAGTGAGACCCTGTCTCAAAATTTTAAAATAGTGGTTACGAGCTGGATGCAGTTGCACACGCCTGTAATTCCAGTGACGGGAGGCTGAGACAGGAGGAATCTAAGTTCAAAGCCAGCCTCAGCAATGGCGAGGCATTAAGCAACTCAGTGAGACCCTATCTCTAATAAAATCAAAATAGGGCTGGGGATGTGGCTCAGTGGTTGAGTTCAATCCCTGGTACCAAAAATAATCAATCACCAGTAATAAATAAATAGTAAAATTTATCCAACTATTATTATTACTATTATTATTACTATTATTATTACTACTACTATTACTAGGTATTGAACCAAGGGGTGCTTAACCACTAAGCCATATCTCCACCCTCTTTTGAGCCTGGCTTTGAACTTGTGATCCTCCTGCCTGAGACTCCACAGCCACTGTGCTTGGCCCAACTTTTGTTTCCAAATATGCCAAGAAAGGTTAAAAAAAATCAAAGATTGTACTTTAGTCATGTTTTGGTCACAACAGTTTTCTTCTAGAACTCTAAAATGATAGTACCATGTTTATAACTGTTGTGCATAGTCTTTCAGGGTAAACATTCAAAATTAAGCTTCTGAAGTTGGCTTCAAACTTGCCACTCTCCTGCCTCAGCTTCCCAAGGAAGATGGTCAGAATTCCAGGAAGATGGTCAGAATTAAAAGAAGGAAAGCTGGTATGGTTGTGCATGCCTCTAGTCTGAGCATTTGGGAGGATGAGGTGGGAAGATCACTTGGGCTCAGGAGTTCAAGACTGGCTTGAACAACATAGTAAGACCCCACTCAAAACAAAACAAGGCAGGGGTATCATTCTTTTAATTTGATTTTCAGGAGCTAACTAGATCATCATCAGTACCATTCCTCAAAGACGGAAGAGTGGGTAACTTAAACTGCATAAAAAGTAGTCTTTTACACATCACATAAATAAAACAACCACTATGCTTTCCAGTTCCAGGTGGAGGAGAGGATATAACAAGCAGAAGCACATACTTGGAAAGCCCTTATCAACTTCTTTCTTTGCTATGAGAGGCTTCTATTCCAAGGTAACATAGATGTGTAATTTTTTAGGCAAGAGATATTATTGTCAACATTCTAGGTCCCTGAATAGTTTCAGCAATTATTTGAGTAAAATTTAGGCATTTTGGGGTAGACACAAAAAGGCTGATAGTCTGAACAAGCCAAAGTGCTAAATATAGACATCACCTGAAAATTATTTAAAGGGTACATACTGATTGCCAACTTTTATTTTTTATTTTTTCCTGGTACTAGATATTGAATCTGGGGGCACTTATCACTTAGGTACATCTCCAGCCCTTTTTATTTTAAGACAGGGTCTCACTATATTGTCCAGGCTGACTCAAACTTGCAATACTCTTGCTTCAGCCTCCTGAGTAGCTGGGATTACAGGTCTGTGCCACTGCATCCAGCTTGCTTGTCAGTTTTAGGTCAGTGTTTTCTCATACTTGTAACTCATTAATACATAATAATTGGTTATAAAGTGCTACTGCAATTTTAAATACTGGTTTACTTTTAAGAATAAATAATTTTGGGGCTGCAATTGTATCTCAGTGATAGAGCACTTGCCTAGCACGTGTGAGGCACTAGGTTCAATCCTCAGCACCACATAAAAATAAGTAAGTAAAATAAAGGTATTGTGTCCATTTACAACTAAAAAATATAAATAAATAAAAAATATATATATTTAAAAGAATACATAGTTTTTCTTAAATAGATAAGAGTCCTCTTTGTGTTTACTGTATCCCTTAGGTTGTATTGGAAAAGTCACTGGTCTTGAAATTCTTAACAACAGTACTGAAAGGAATTATTAACACAAGCATTGTAGGAATGGATGCTTACTAAGCAAGTCTGTAAGTTCAAAGTCACCAGTTCAGGGCAGTGTGCACCTATGTACTTGAGAGCTTCATCTTCCAACTAAAAAGATTAAAAAATAAGAAAAAAATATTATTAACAATGTTTCAAAGGAGAAAGACTTAAGAATTTATACATTCATCAATACATTCTCAGTATAGCCACCCAAGTTCCAAAAGAACAATGAACCAGAAATAAAAAATTATGTTCACATAACAAAGTAATTCCTACTATTAGCAGGGTTATCAGTATTTTAAAAAATCAGTTCCTACCACATCAAATTCATGTTGTTATCATCAAACCAAGGAAAAGATGACATAAACATTGCTTAGTATTTATGGATTTTACTTCTGATAAGTTAAATATACTTCATAGTACTTTGCAGAGGGATTATTAAGCTAAAATGATTTTCACACTTCAATACCACCTATGAAGATTTTTTTAAAACAAATTTTGGGGGCAGAGAGCCAAGAAAGGAATCCATCGTGTTTATCTGTTGCTGGAAGATCAGTGGCATGCTTACAGTGCTGAGAACAGATGGTAAGTAATTGATCATAATGATGCATTCCAATCAATATTTTTCAGGATTCCATAAATAACTAGAAGCTCAAGCTGTTGTTTTAAGGCAGCCATACATCCAAAGCTCAATTTCAAACAACAAAATTCTTCCTATCATAGTAAGAGAATGAGGGAATTTTTAATGGAATCCAAAGTATGGATTTCATACCATTAATAAAATAAGATAGAGACTAGCCCTACTTTATCAATCATATAAATCCACTTTTCTTTTCTTTCCCTTTTGAAATAAGGTCTCAAACTCTATTTTCCTGCCTCAGCCTCCCAAGCAGCTGGGATTACAGGCATGTGCCACCAAACCTGGCTTAAATTCACTCTTGATCATTAGGTGCTATTTGGTCAATTCCTTTCCTCACTGTGAAAAAATAAGATTGTTTTTAAAAAGTTTTTTTTTGGGGGGGGGTGGTATTGGGCAAAAAACCCTGGGGCACTGTACCCACTGAGTTATATCACCTTATCACCTGCCTTTTTCATTTTTCTTTTGAGACAGGGTCTCACTAAATTGCCTAGGCTGGCCTCAAATTTTCAGCTTCTCCTGTCTTAGCCTCCCAAGTAGCTGGGATTACAGCTGAGTGCCACTATGCCTAGCAAGGCTGTACTTTTTTTTTTTTTCCTTTTGGTGGTACTGGGGATTGAACCCAGAGCCTTATGCATGTGAGGCAACCAAGCTGCCACTGAACTACATTCACAGCCCCAAGACTACAAAATTTTTAATGACAAAATATGTTGGATTTGTGATGTGACTGGGAGGATAAGTGTCAATACTATAAAACACAGGTTACTGCATACTTGGCATATTTAAAAACAACTCCTGATGATTAAACAAGAGAAAATTTCCAGGACTGTCTTATTTGCCTATCCAGTTTGAAGTATCGGCAGTAAAGAAACTTTCTTTTTGGTACAGGTTAAGCTGCATGAAACCCTTCTTGCCTATGGCATACATTCCTTCAGTGTTACTTTGCCGCCCCACTATGTCCTTCTCGAAATTTATCTTTGGTCAGATGCTAAATCCTCTCATTCGTTGATTCTAAGGAAAACACTTTATGCTTGATAAGCAAATATCTTTGGGTCAAAAATACACACAACTGGGGCTGGGGTTGTGGCTCAGTGTTAGAGCGCTTGCTTGGCATGTGTGAGGCACTGGGATCAATTCTTAGCACCACATAAAAATAAGTAAATAAAATAAAGGTCCATCGACAACTAAAAAAAAAATATATATATATATATATATACACACAAAAAAATACACACAACTCACATTTCCCTCCAGACAAACATCTTGGTGATGACTACAAAAAGCTCATGGTTCCTCTGATTTTCATAAGCATTACATGGAGTATTACCTGTGTGCAGCCTTTTAAGAATAAGGCCTTGAGACCCCCACAGCCTCTTACTAGTGCTTGAATGCCATCCTTGGTTACTTGATCACACCAGGAAATGTTCAACTGCTCCAACAGTGGACACCCCTCACTTAGGATAAAACAAAATGACACAAGCATATCACTACATCCAATTTCAAAGATACTGGTCTCACTTTTGCAATGTTCATGTGGGACTTTACCACCAGCAGGGCCATCTCAAATCCAGCTTAAACAACTACAAAGCACAGTATAGTTTTTCAACTATAGATAGGATATGGAAATTAACTTGTTCAAATTTATAGAGTAATTAAAAGTTCAGATTCAAACCCAGATTCTCCATCAGGTATTAATGAGAACTTTTAAACTTTTAGTTAAAAATAATTACAAAGGCTCTGTATATTTCCTTATTTGGGACATTTCTAGAATATTGTTTCTGCAGACTAAAGTTAGGGTATACTGTTTTGAATTTCTGTGATTCTTCCACTTGTATCAGTTTAGTTTCATATTTGGAGCATGAAAAAATTGAAATTATTCTTCAGAAACACTGAACACCACCTAACTTTTATAGAAGTTTGTCTCCTTCCGGACCCCTCACTCCCCCACCGCCCCCATGCTAGGGATTGAACCCAGGGCTTCACACAAGCTACATAAGTGTTCTACCACCGAGTCGTGCCCATTATCTTTTAAATACTCCTGCCTACCAAAAAGATGCAGAAAATAAAGACAGGAGATCCAGGTTTGAGTTCATTTTCAACATTAATAATTTGACTCCATACAAGTCACTTTAGGAAGCCTATCTATCTAAACCTCTTGGTCCAAGATAAGCCACAGCTCTTTCTATGTTCTTCCAAAACTGAGGTACTCACTCCTATCATCAACTTACTACACTAGAAATTTAACTCAGGGACACTCTACCAGTGAGCTATATACCCCTAGTCCTCTTAATTTTTCTATTTTGAGACAGAGTCTCACTAAGTTGCTAAGCCTGTCCTCCATCTTGCAATCCTCCTGCCTTAGCTTCCTAAGTAGCTGGGATTATAGGTATGTGCTATAGCACCTGGGACTAGCTCATCTTATTTTGAAGACAGGGTCTTACAAAGTTGCCCAGTCTGACTTTGAACTTGCTATGCTCCTGCCTCAGCCTCCTAAGTAGCTGTGACTATAGGTGTACACCACCATGCTTGCCTTGAAGTTATTTTTATAACATAGAAACTGTTGACTATCATCAGCACAACTTTTTATAGTTCTGCTTAATATAATCTTGTTGAATCCTAATAACAATGCTATGAGATAATGAGGAAAAGCTCAGAAGGACTGTGTTCAAACAAAGTACCTGGAAAATAATCCTATCTCTAGAACCATATTTTAAACATTAAGCTAAAATAACAGGCCATTTTCTTTTCTTTTTTTGAAAGTAAGTCTTTATAAAAATCTAATAATTCATGTATAAACTATACCGTGCTCCTCTGTTTAGAAATCCTAGTTACCCCTAGTCATTTCACTTGAATAGCTCCTGTAATTATAATTTGGGAAAAGTGGTAAAATAAAAGGCCTATTTAGAACTATAGTATATATGAATAAAACATAGTTACTTTCAATTCAAAATTCATTTCAGTTATTTTTAAGAAATTATTATTAATGGACATGCTTATGTATAAGAAATTTACCTCAGAGCTTTGAGAGACATGTTTGTTATTGATGTACAGGAAGCCAAGTCAAGATGCCTGAGTTTGGAACAGAACTTGCTAAGGCTAGTACATGTACTGAAAATGGAGAGAGGAGAAAATAATGAATAAATAAGAACACATCTTACTATATCATACATGTTTCTCAGTAAATATGTGTGTGTATACACATGCATGTGTGTATATGATATATAAATTATATCAGAACTGTAAAATTTGCATACCTTCCAAAAAGCAGCTATAAATTTTGGGAGCTTTCCACGGAAGAGGCAGATACCATTCACAAAGAATGGCAATACTATATACGAGAATTTGTATCAGAGGAAGATGGTGCTTCATTTACATTTGGAAATATTAATAGCTATTAACAGCTATTATTAATAGCTGTTAATAGCTATTAACAGCAAATTACTTATGTGAACTGTAAGTGATCTATGTGTACTCTTCAGATCCAGGAACACCAGGAATGCTAATAAGTTTCTGCTATATATGGTAAAATATGAGGACCAAATCTTTGCTTCTGCTTTTTAACAGACTTAAAACATTTACTTAAACATCTTAAACTATCTACTTGAGATAATCTTTTACATGGCAGTAAGGAAAGAAGTGGATTTTGCAAGGTATACATAGACGAATTATATTGGGCTGAAAGAAGTTATGTAATACTGCTACTTATTACCTTTTGTGAATTATGATGATGTTTAGCAGTGCTAGATTAAATCCGGGGCCTCATGCCCGCTTGGCAGCCCTCTAACACTAAGCTACATCCCCAGGCCTTTTTAACATTAAAAATTATTTTTAATCATTTTTATTTTATTATTCTCCCTCCTTTAAAAAAAAATTTTTTTTTTTAGATGCACACACTATCTTTATCCATTTTTATGTGGTGCTGAGGATCGAACCCAGTGCCTCACAGGGACGAGGCAGGCACTCTACCACTGTGTTACAGCCCCAGCTACAATTTCCCCTCCTTTTTTTTTCCCTCCAGTATTTTAAAGTAAATCCTGGATATATTATTTTATCTGTAAATGTTTTAGTACTTTTTTATTCTTCCTTTCTCTTTATTTGGTACTAGGATCCAAGCCAGGGGCGCTCTACCACTGACCTACATTCCCATCCTTTTTTATTTTTCATTTTGAGACAGGGTCTCAATTGCTGGTATCAAACTTGTGATCCTACTGCTTCAGTCCCCTAAGTCACTGGGATTACAGGCATATGCCACCACACCTGGCAATGGAATTCTTTTTTTAAATATTTATTTATTTTTTTAGTTGTACACAATACCTTTATTTGTTTATTTGTTTTTATGTGGTGCTGAGGATCGAACCCAGGGCCTCACATATGCTAGGCGAGCTCTACCACTGAGCCACAACCCCAGCCCAGGAATTCTTAATTTCATGTTTGGATTGCTTGATGCTAATGTATAGAGACTTTTTTTGGGTATATTGTCTTATATCTAATGAGCTTGTTATCTTATTTATGAATTAAAGCGTCTTTTGGTAGTTTCCTCATGATTTAAAAAAAATTTTTTTTTGTAGTTGTAGATGGACAGAATGCCTTTATTTTTTTTTGTTGTTAGCTGTTATGTGGTGCTGAGAATTGAATCTAGTGCCTCATGCATGCTAGGCAAGTGCTTTGCCACTGAGCTATAGCCCCAGACTTCCTCATGTTTTTTTTTATATACAATATTATAAATTATGTTATATACAAATAAAGGTTCATTCTATTCTTTCCTACCAATATGCATTAAAAAAACTTACTGTATTGGCTAGATCCTCTAATACAATGTGAAATAGAAAGCGTGGTTGGGCTGGGGATGTATGTAGTTCAATCCCCAGCACCAAAAAAAAGTGTAGTAATTGTTCTTGACCTTAGTAAGAAAGAATTCAGTCATTTTTAGAAGTGGTTTTTGTGTGTGTGTGTGGGGGGGGGGGGTGCGAGAGATTTACCCCAGAGCCTTGTGCATGTGAGGCAAACACTCTGTACCAACTGAGCTATATCCCAAGCCCCAGAAGGGGGTTTTTCATAAATGCTTTTGATGGGGTTGAGGGAATTTCTTTGGAATTGTTTTTACCATGAATGGACGTTAGATATTGTAATATGCTTTCTATACCTAATAATAAATTAGTTATCTATTTTGTGTAGTCAACTACCCTACAACAACTCAACTTAAGATCACAGTGTATTATTTCAGATTTTGTGGTCAGAACTAAAGGTAGCTAAGCAGGGTTCATTTGATTTAGGGTTTCTGACAAGACCACAATCAAGGTGTAGACATTGGATGTGATCATCTCAAAGGTTAACGGGGTTTAGATCCCTTGCTAAGCTCATTTAGGTGTTTTTTTTTTTTTTTAGCAGATCTCAGGAGATCCAATCAAGGCTTATTCTTGATTTTTTGGTAGATTTCAGGTTCTTGCTAACTATTACCTGGAAACATCAGTTTCTATTCACGTAGGCCTCTCCACAGAGGTACCATAACAGGGCAGCTTGCTTCCCTGAGAGCAAGAACCCCAAGAGAAAGCAGACTGGATAGTAATCTTTTTGTATCCTAATCTCAAAAGTACCATCCAATCTCTCTTGCAGTATTCTATTGTTAGAAATGAGTCACTATGGTGAGTTAACTCTCAAGGGGAAATGATTAGACAATGGTTTAAATATCAGGAAGTGTGGATTATTTGGAGGCCATCAAACACAAAGATGATCATGTTGTTTTGTCTCTTTTACTCCAGAGGTGATAAAACTATAGCTCAACTATGGTCAAATCATTCCTGAAGCCTATTTTTATATGACTCACAAACCACGAATGGTTCTTACACTTTTAAGAGGTTGAAAAAAAGTCAATAGGGCTGCAATGTAGCTCAGTGGCAAAGTATTTGCCTCCCATTCACAAAACCCTGGGTTAAATCCTCAGTTCCAAAAAAGAAAAGACAAAAAAAAAAAAAGATAAAGAAAAAAAAAAAAACCCAGAAACAGTTGTTTTTGTTTTTTTTTTTAACATATAGCTGTGCTTATTTATGTACTATCTGTCTATGGCTGATTTTATAACTGTATCTGACATAGTTATAACATACTATACGGGTCAGGAAGACTAAAATATTTACTTATTTGGTCCTATTTCTGGGATAAATTCCACTTAGTTACAATCTAAAATCCTTTTTTTTTGTGGGGGCTGGGGTTGTGGCTCAGAGGCAGAGTGCTTGCTCAGTGTGTGTGAGGCACTGGGTTTGACCCTCAGCACCACATATAAATAAATAAATAAATAAAATCAAGGTCCATCAACAACTTAAAAGCCCTTTCTAATTTTTTTATTTTGAGACTGATTCTCACTTAATTGCTTAGTCTCACTAAATTGCTGAAGCTGTATTCAAACTTGTGATCCTCCTGCCTCAGCCTCCTGAGTGCTGAGACAGGGTTTTGCTAAGTTTCTTAGGGCCTTGTTAAGTTGCTGAGGCTAGCCTTGAACTTGCGATCCTCCTGACTTCAGTCTCCCAAGTAGTTGGAATACAGCCGTGCACCAATGTACCTGGCCCATCAGCTGTTTAAAGAAAAGCCAATCCTCAATAAACTAATTTTAAAAAGAGGGGAAAGCTGGACACTGTAATCTCAGCAACTCAGGAGGCTAAGGTAGAAGGATGGCAATTTCTAACCCAGCCTGACCAACTTAAAGGGACTCTACCTCAAAATAAAAAATAAAAAGGGCCTGAGATGTGAAGATGTTGCTCAGTGATAGAGTACCCCCAGGTTCAAACTCTAGTATCTCACACACACACACCAGTTGATGAAATTCACTAGTAGAACCTTTTAGGTCTGCGTGCTTGTTTGTTAGGACAGTTTTAAATTACTCACTGAATGTATATATTATAGGCCTATTCAGAATATGCATTTTTTTCTTGAGCCAGTTTTGGCAAATTAAGCCTTCCAGGAATTTTGTTCATTTTATCAGTATTGCCTGATTATTATTCATGATATCCTATCATAATTTTTTGGGTAAAGTATTTAATCTTCAACTTCATTTCTGCTTTAGAGTTTGTCTTTTTTTTGGAGGGGTGGTACTGGGAATTGAACCTAGGGGAACGTTACATTGAGCCACATCCTCAGCCATTATAATTTTATTTATTTATTTGGTACTGGTGGGTTTTTCATAGATGCTTTTGATTGGGTTGAGGGAATTGCTTTTGGAATTGTTTTTACCATGATTGAATTCAGGGGCACTCAACCACTGAGCCACATCCCCAACCCTATTTTGTATTTTATTTAGAGACAGGGTCTCATTGAGTTGCTCAGTGCCTAGTGGTTGTTGAGGCTGACTTTGAACTCACCACCCTCCTATCTCAGCCTCCCAAGTCACTGGGATTATAGGTGTGTGCCTATCTCAACCTTTTTAGTATGTATGTATGTATGTATGTATGTATATATTTATTTTCCTGGTTCTGGAAATTAAACCCAGGGGCCCTATGCATGTGAAGTAAGCATTCTACCAACTGAGCTATATCCCCAGCCCTTGTCTTTTTTATTTTGAGACGGGATACCACTAAGTTGCTTAGGGTCTCACTAAACTGTTGAATCTAGCCTTTAACTTGTGATATTCATGCCTTGGCCTCCCCAGCAGCTGGGATGACAAGCACACATCACTGCACCTTGCTCCATTTTATTAGTTTTTGGTTGAAATTTCTATTTTTCTTTTTGAAAATATGAATATTGATATATTTTGTACCAAGTCCTCTTGCCCTTTTAAAAGGTATCATTTTATACAAAGTCCTCTGCTGTTCACTTTCATTTAACAGTAGGTCTTGGAACTCACACCAGAGAACTAGAGATTTTCTTCATCACTTTTATTTAACTAATCCTCTTCTGATAAGACACAGGATGGTTTCCTTTTTTGGGGGAAGAAGGGGTATCAGGGATTGAACTTTTAAGGGGCACTCAACTACTGAGCCGCATTCTCAGCCCTATTTTGTATTTTATTTAGAGACAGGGTCTCGCTGAGTTGCTCAGAGTCTTGCTTTTGCTGAGGCTGGCTTTGAACTCTCAATCCTCCTGCCTCAGCCTCCCGAGCTGCTGGGATTACAGGTGTGAGTCACTGCGCCCGGCAGTTTCCTGTCTTTTGCTGTTATAAAAATTAGCAGTAATGGGGTTGTAGCTCAGTGGTAAAACATCCCAGTTCTTAAAAAAAAAAAAAAAAAAATAGCAGTATTCATCATTACAAACAGTAAAAATGAATAGCCTTGTACATATATATTATATATTATGGTTATAACTTATCATACAAAGGAATAGTGGGGGTAAGGAGTTAGTAAACTGTTTCTCCTATTTATCCTATTTTTTAAAAATTTTTATAGTTGTAGATGGACAGCATACATTTATTTTATTTGTTTATTTTTATGTGGTGCTGAGGATCAAACCCAGTGCTTCATGCATGCTAGGCAAGCACTCTGGCCCTGAACTACACCCTAACCCCCTGTTTCTCCTATTAAAGGCTTCCAAATTAATCTACAGATATAATATTTACAAGAAGAATTCTCTCTTTTGCTAGGGATGGAACCCAGGGCTTCATGCATATTAGGCAAGAAGTGCTATCACTGAGTTCTATCCTCCCTCTATTTTCTACATTAAAAACTGCTATCAGTACTAATTAAACTGTTCAGTCCTATGTTGAAGAGTTTAATCTTTTCATAGAATTATCTGCTCACTGGGGTCTTTAATTATTATCCTTCTGCATAAACACTGATTATGATTTTTTCTTTTGTGGTGCTTAGTACCAAATTAGGGCCCCCCCACATACTGAGCTAACTCCCCAGCCCACCTATAAATTTTTAAGTCTTACTTTAAATATCAAAGACAGAATTTTACAACCAAGAAAGTTGCCAAATACATTTGTTGTGTGTTCATTTACCCATTAAGTCCCAAGTTTTCAATTACGCAAAATTTTCAGTGAAACTGACATAGGTGCATTAAATTGGAAATAATTATCTAGAGCTTATTATATAATTTATTATCATTAACAATATTAATACTAATGAATATTATAACTAATTCACTTATTACTTTTTTCAAAAGAATAGAACTCTAAAAAAATACATTTGTTGGGCTGGGACTGTGGCTCAACGGTAGAGTGCTCTCCTAGCATGGGCGGGACCCAGGTTCGATTCTCAGCACCACATAAAAATAAAGGCATTGTGTTGTGCCCATCTACACCTAAAAAATAAATATTATAAAAATACATTTGTTTATTTCAAGGTTATTATATTCTCAACTTAAGTTTTTATTTATTTATTGAGAGAGAGAGAGAGAGAGAGAATTTTAACATTTATATTTTAGTTTTCGGCGGACACAACATCTTTGGTTTTTGTATGTGGTGCTGAGGATCGAACCTGGGCCGCACGCATGCCAGGCGAGCGCACTACCGCTTGAGTCACATCCCCAGCCCTCAACTTAAGTTTTTTAGGTGTTCCATGAATGAAATGGTGGGACACCATGGGTTAGACTAATATAGCCCAGACATGGACTACGACATAACATTCTAAAACACAGAATACTTACGCGTCTGTAGTCTTTGTACACCCATTTAGATTTAACACTTCAATGTTCCTACAGTTCTGAGCAAAGGTCCTTTATGGGAAGAAAAAAAAAAAGTGACAAGTTTCAAATGAAATGGGCAAAATGCGAAATATAAAAAAAATAAGATATCGTTATTGGTAATATTGGTTGCTGGTACCTGTTATACTATGATATGAGAAATTAATATTTGGTCTTCATCCCTTCTTCCGGGCATAGAACTCCTAAAACCCTTGTAATTTTCTGAGTAATGAGTGACAGGAACATCTTTTATATATATAATATTTGGTCTTCCAACTATAACTACAATAACACAGCCTCATAAAAACCCCTAAATAATGGGGATTAGAGAATTTCTGGGTTGGTAAATCACGTGCTGGTTTATGTCTTAACTACAGGGACAGAAGTTCCTGTGATTGGGAACCTTCTAAATCTTGTCCCATGAACCTCTTCAACTGGCTGTTCATCTGTATTCTTTACAATGGTAATAATAACTAAAGCACCTTTCTGAGTTGTATGGATCATTCTAGCAAATTACCAAACATGGAGGGGGGTCATGGTAATTCCTGATTTATAGCCCATTGATCAGAAGTACACAGCAACATGGGGCTTGCAACTTGTATCTGAAATAGAAGCAGCCCTTTGCACTAAGTCCTTGGCTTGTAGGATCTTAGCTAATTCTGGATAGTTAGGTTTAGTATTTAACTAAATTACAATATCCAGTTGTTGTCTAGAAAAACAAAGGATTGGTTGTAGGGTGGGGGGAAAAAAGCTATACATCTACTGTCAGAGTATTGTGAATAGGAACAGTTGAGTATAATACAAAGTAGTTGATAAGTATAAGTAAATAAGTTTTTTTTCCAAACCATAAATTCTTTTTTTGTACTTGGGGATTGAACCCTGGGGCACTTTACCACGTAGCTAAATTTCCAGTTCTTTTTATTTTGAGACAGGTTCTCACCAAATTGCTGAGGTTCTTGCTATGTTGCTGGGTCTGGCTTCAAACTTAGGATCCTTCTGCCTCAGCCTCCCAAGTCTCTGGGATGATAGGCATGTCTCACTACCCCTGGCTGAACCATCAATTCTTAAACACAAGTCACCAAAGATAATTTTATCCTATCTTTGAGTAAATAAAAATTCAAATAACAAAATACATTTTCTCAAGTTTCCAAAAGGATCATTTGTGATGAGAAATCTACCATTTTAAAATCATATTTCCTATTTCCTGTTATTTTTGTTACCAGGGATTGAACCCAGGGACAATTAACCATTGAGCCACATCCCCAGCCATTTTGTACTTTTTATTTTAAGAAAGGGTCTAAATTAGTTACGGTATCACTAAGTTGCTGAGGCTGGCTTTGAACTTGTAATTCTGCTTCCTCAGCCTCCCAAGTCACGGAGATTATAGGTGTGTGTGTGCCTCCATACCCATTGTACCTGACATTTCTGTGCTATAAATAATATATACGTGATGTATTTTCAACGTTTAGGGATTTAAAAAATTCCTCAGCTTTTTCAGAGTGAGATGGTGCTGTTCTTTACTTGAATCAAAGAGATTAATAGCAGTTACTTTTTTTTTTAACAGTTATGTTTTTACCTTAATGCATTGTCTCCTACTCCAAGACACCCACGAAGACTTAACTTTCGTAAAAAGCCCCCACATCGTTTTGAAATATTCTCCACTACTCGACCCTATAAAAAGAAACAGGTAAACAAAAAGATGACCAATCTGATTGCTTAAGAATACATCTTCATTTTTGACAATTTATGGACAGAGAGAAAAGGTTTCTACTTGTTTCAAAGACCTAATTAAGTAGGAAAATTTCAACTTCCTTTGGGAATGCTTTCCTGATTAGCCCATCTACTTAAAACATGCCTGAACTTTACTTTATATTCTTATTTATTTGTTCAATTTGTAAAATATTCTATATTGAGTCTTTATGGCACTATATGCATGTATACTGCCCCCTTGGGTTAAATCATAGCCACTAAAGGACAACAACTACATTTATCTTTGTATACTTTCCAAAATATTTACTATAGCACTCTGCATATAGCAAGACTCAAAGAACACTTAAAAGGTTGGTAAATGATTTTGTGAGCTGTGCTGCTTTAAATATCTTAACATCCATGAAGATCAAAGAATTGTGGAAAACAATTCAATATAATGTTTGTAGTTATTATTTTAAAAACATCTTGTGAAGATAATGGAAGGTTCATATAAGGTTTTTAAAAATTCTTCAAGTGGGCCCTTAAGAGAATTTGTTTCTGCTGGAAATTTAAAAGAGAAAGAGGGGGGGGGGGGGGGGGGACAGGCAGAGAGAGAGAGAGAAAAGGAGAGGCAAGTGGAGAAAGAGAAGGGAAGAGATTCTCAATCTTCTTAACACTATGAGTTATCTCTTATGTTCACTCTTCTGAAGAGAGAACTAAGGACTGCTTTAAATTCAGCTAAAGTAATTCAAACTCAAGTCATAATGTTTTCTATTTTAAAGATAAAAGGTTATACTAAAAGGTGAAATAGGTGGGTAGGGGATGAGCAAGAGGAGACAAAAAAACTGTTTCTAACAAAAATAATTTAATGAATGACACTGGTTTAATTCATTTTACATTCTCCACAAAAACTATTACCTTTGATTCACCAAGGGCCAAAATGCACATCTGAAGTATAATATAGCCAGGCAAAGTGGTACATGCCTGTAATCTAGAAGCTTAGGTGGCTGATGCAGGAGGATCACAGGTTCAAAGCCAGCCTTAGCACTTAGTGAGGCCCTAAGCAACTCGACAAGACTGTCTCTAAATAAAATATAAAAAAGGGCTGGGGATGTGGCTCAGTGGTTAAGTGCCCCTGGGTTCCATCCCCAGTACCAAAAGAAAAAAAATAAAATAAAATAAAAGCCAGCCTTAGCAGCTTACAAGGACTTAAGCAACTTAGTGAGACCCTGTCTCAAAATAAACAATAAAAAGGGCTATGTCCCCACATAGCTCAGTGGTGAATTACCCCAGGGTTCAATCCCCATACCCCCCTCCAAAAAAAATATATGTAGCTGGGTGTGTGGTGGCTTAGACCTATAATCCCAACTACTTAGGAGGCTGGGGAAGGAGGATCACAAATTTGAGGCCAGACTGCAAAATAAAAAATAAAATATACTGGAGACATAGCTTAGCAATAGAGCATCCCTGGGTTTTATTCCAAGTACCACAAAAGTAAAATGAAAAAAAAAAATGCAAATATCACCCCCCCAATAAGTTATAATTGTACTTGTTCTTCAATAAACAAATACAAAAATGACTTCTTTAAAACAAGCAAACACAAAATACAAGTTCACATTTCTACTGCAAAACCAAAAATTTTTCAGTCCTTTTCAGGACTAATATTTTTCTAGTATTACTTCAGTGAAATAATCCACTTATTTTCAAAAATTCAATAAACTCTTGGGAACTTTGGAGGCTACCATGAAGTTTAGATGTACTGAAAACAATAGTTCCTCTCTTGAGGGAAAACAAGATTTATATGGCTGAGGCTAACTTGTCCCATGTTGTAATTACTTGCAAGAGAATTAGGGCCACACACCACAAAATTATACCTCAATATCTCTCTGGAAATCAAACAGGTCAATTCGTTGCCAGTTACTGCCATCCAAAGCCAGAACATTCCAGGCCTATTTTGAAGAAAAGAAATAAGCAAAATTTAAAATGAAAAGAAAACAATATTCAAATTTACAATTCAACCAACTAATGACTGAAATAGATCAAAAAATTTCCTTAGCTTCTATCACTACTCCCAACAGGTGTGCCTTAATCCTGGATCCATGCTTTACTCTCAAATGAGATTATCTCATAAAATGAGTAGGTATAGAAACTAACAGCTACAAAATATCTTAAATTAGGGAAATTGGGGAAACAGCAGGTTGTGATAAATATCATAGCCAGAAGGTATTTTGAAACTGCAAGATTCCAATTTCACATTTATTTATTTATTTGTGTGTGTGTGTGTTTTGCTGGGAATTGAACCCAGGGGTGTGTGTGTGTGTGTGTGTGTGTGTGTGTGTGTGTGTTTTGCTGGGAATTGAACCCAGGGCCTTGTGCATGCAAGGCATGCACCATACCAACTGAGCTATATCCCTAGCCCAAGATTCCAATTTCTAATCTCAAAATGAGACAGAATTTTAGGTGATGAAGAACAAGTCTTAGCTCCATCCCTAAATTGGAAACAAGATGTGAAACCAACGGAATGGGACAGTACACCAAATGCTGCTCTGTTTAACACATATCTATTATCTATAGTATCACTTGGTTAGATATGAAATTGTGACATGGTGATTTGGGACTTGAAAATTATATATTTTTTGTATAATTTCTCTGTATTTCATGTTTTCCTCATTACCAATTTACTCAGGTAGGTTTATAGGTTTTTCAATTAATCATCATTCTATCCCCAACTTGATTCGGTGGTAATTTTATTTATTTTTAAAATTATTTATTCTTTAATTTTTGCAGTACTGGAGACTAAACCCAGGGGTATACTATCACTGAGCCACAACCCCAACAATTTTTTATTTTCAGACAAGGCCTTATTAAATTGCCCAAGATGCTCTTGAACTTGTGATATTCCTGCCTTAGGCTCTTTAGTCCCTGTGATTTCAGGCATAGGCCACCTCATTCACCTTCAATGGAAAGTTTAAGATTTTCATACATCTTAAACAAGAAAAGGGAGGTAAGAAAGGGAGAAATGAGTCCAGTGGGAGTTAATTTGTTGTCGCTCATTCTATATTTTCCTTTAAAAACTTTCCCTGTTAAATTTAAAAAATAAAAGTATTGGACTGGTGGTGTAGCTCAATGGTAGAACACTTGCCCAGCATGTGCAAGGCCTTAGGTTTGATCCCCAGCACTGCAAAACAAAACAAAATAAACAAAAGTTTTAATATTAGAGTCATAAAGTTATGAGTCTTATCTTTAATAAAATTTAAAAGGGATTTAATATTGATTATACTTATAGCTATTTCTCTGAAATTTTTAAAAAAGAATTTCTGGATATACTTATAAGCCTTAGGATAACTGTCACATAATCAATAAGAAGAATGTCAGGGGTATGAGGGTAAGCAAGGAGTTATTATAGAAATAGCTGCAGTTTTCTCAGAAGTTTAATGTTACTTTTCTTTTAATGCCTTCATTTTTCCAGTGGCTTAAGTGGTTAGCCAGGGGAGGCAACCAATAAAACATTTAAAGGTTATATGTTTAATAAATTCTTGGGCTAAATGAATCTCTGATTGATGTGCTATTTCTTATTTCCTTCTATTATGTTCTTCAGCAAGCAGAAAACATGCAGAATTCAGACTAAAATTATAAATGACAAATTCCTCTCTAGAGTCTGCACTGGGAAAAAAACAAAACAAAAAAAACTTCAAGCATAGAGAACAATGGAATATAAACCTGGTGCAGTGTGGTCCATATGTATAATTCCTGGGACTTGGGAGGCTGCGAATTAGTGCCTTGCTTTTTGCTGAGGCTGGCTTTGAACTCATGATCCTCCTGCCTCATAAGCCGCTGGTATTACAGGCATGCGCCACCACGCCCAGCCAGACACAATAATTTAGTGAGACCCTCAGCAGTTTGGTGAGACCCTGTCTCAAAAGGAAAAAAGGCTGAGGATGTTGTTCAGTGGCAAAGTGCTCCTGGGTTCAATCCAAAGCACACACACACAAAAAGAATATGCCAAGTATGGTAGCACATCCCTGTTAATTCTAATGACTTGGGAGGCTAAAGCAAGAGAATCACAAGTTTGAGGCCAGACTTAGCATGACCCAGTTAAAAAAAAAAGGGGGGGGGGGATGGGAATGTAGCTCAGTGGTAAAAACACCCCTGGGTTCAAAACACAGTAGGGGTGGGAAAGAAAGAGAACAATAAAACAACTACTAATATAAAATTTTCCAGATTTAATGAAAAGTGACATTGTGACTTCCTTCCCTTAAAGTTAACACATATTAAGAAGGAAGAGGAACCTGCAAATGAAAACAATAACTGAAAACTCATTTAAGTCAACACTCCTAGGGTGAGGCTGTGTAACTAAACAGGTTTAGACACTGATCTGGGAATTTTGTTTCTGGGTGTTTTGTCACCTTCACAATGGAATCAGAAAGGAAAATCCATTCACTTGTAAGTGGCCATGTCTAAAGGGACCACACAACTAATGGAGATAAAAATGTCAAAAGAGAAATCACTGAAACACCATTGTTAATTTCCAAAATGGCTGACAGACATTAAGTATGGCTTTCAGGATGCAGAAATTAAAGTTAGAATAAGGGGAAATTCTCTATATTAAGATTTATGTGTGGTGCTAGTAGTATGAAGGGACATCTGGGCCCACCTACACAGATAAACATAATACTTTATGGTACAGCCATATTACATATCAGTACCTGGCAAACAGTGGGCTCTCAGTAAATATTTGTTAAATGAATGAACAAACAGAAAGCTGGTGCCTAATTTATAAAAAGATGACAACTGCAAATACATGTTCATTTTATTACTGATCAGATAACTGTATTACAAAAGTAGTTAGAAGCAGTTCATAAAGCAATTTTTCTACATCAGAGATTATACCCTTTATATCAGTGGTAGCCAATAATATTAGGGTATACGGCCATTTTGTCACAGCAATATTAAGTGACAAAAATCGAGAGTCAAGTATAATGTAGAAACTGACTTTAGGAAAAGTGATTTGTTCTACAACCATTTTGTTTTTAAATTTTATCTTTCAAGGAAAGAACATGGGGATAAAATAGCATGAGAATTAGATGTTTAAGAGTCTTTTATATGTATATGTGCTTGTATCAAATGAACAGGAAAAACAATAAAGAAAATTTCATTAAGTTAAGCATAGCCTTTTTTTTTTTTTTTTTTTTTTTTTTGTCCCAGGGATTGAATTTAGGGGCACTTAACCACTGAGCCACATCCCCAGCCCTAATTTGTATTTTATTTAGAGACAGGGTCTCACCGAGTTGCTTAGTGCCTCACTTTTGTTAAGGCTGGCTTTGAACTTGCAATCCTCCTGCCTCAGCCTCCCAAGCCACTGGGATTACAGGCATGCGCCAATGCACCCAGCAAGCATAGCCTTTTAATTTGCATGTTCAATGCCTTTTCACTTAACTATTCTGTTTATGTTATGTAAATAAGATTTATAGAACAGTTAGAGGTGGTATATATAGAATTCTATTATTGAATTATATGGGGAAGGTATACCATAAATGAAATAACACCCTTTCAGACATAACAACATACAAGTAACACCTAAAATAAATGGTCAGCCTACTACAGAGACTGCCATCCTTAGTGTCAGAAAGTGGTCCCTCTGTAACCATGTCCACCATTCTTACCCTGGAGACCTGAGCACAGCGACACAAGGTAACAACATCCAGAAAAGAAAATATCCTAAAAAGAAAAGAGAGGGAGACAAACTTCACTGTATGATAGTTTCTCTTAATTTTAGCCTTTTAATAACTACACACACATATAACACACACACACACACACGCAGTTCTTCCAAGCAAAAAAAAAAAAAAAAAAAAGATTTGAAAAAAAAAAAAAAAAAAAAAAAGAAAAAATTTGAGCAATTGAAAAAAAAGATAATACTGCCCAAATAAAACATAGTAGAAGAAAGTAATCTTTTAGCAGGGTGTGGTAGCACATGCCTGTAATCCCATTGTCTTGGGAGGCTAAGTAGGAGGATTACAAATTTGGAGCCTCAGGTATTTAGTGAGACTCTGTCTCAAACAAATAAGTAAATAAATAAAAAGGACTGAGGCTTAGTGATAAAGCACCCCTGAGTTCACTCCCCAGAACAACAACAACAAAAAAGATAATCTTTTACTTAACAATGTACATAAATGCTATACAAGTTCAATTATATCAAGGGAAATGATTTCTAACTGATATAGACATCTGAAGTGTTACAAAATGGAGGTCAGGAAGCATTAGTCTGGAGAAAAGAGGCTAGTTTCTGTCATAGTTACCTGAAGTGTAAAAGCTCCCTAGGATAGCTTTAAAAAATGAAATTTTGTTGTTTAGTGATCAGAGGTTATCAGTTATATTGTGGAACTTGTGATATGCTGAGTTAATAATTACATTAGAGAGAAAGTCATCTACATTTTGTAAATATGTTCAGTCTTCAAAAAAAAACTGTGTGCTGAGTGTGGTGGCACATGCCTATAATCCCAGTGACTTGGGAGGCTGAGGCAGGAGGATCACAAGTTCAAAGCCATCCTCAGCAACTTAGGTAGCTCTAAACAACTTGGTGAGACCCTGTCTCAAAAAATAAAAAGGGCCAGAAATGTGGCTCAGTCATTAAGTGCCCTTGTTCAAACCTAGTACCAAAAAAGAGCAACAACAACAAAAAACTGTGAGCACACATATGAAACTGTAGCTCAGTGGCATGAAGTTCCTGTTCACATGGTTAAGACCAATATCCCTACTAACCATCTCCAAAGGTTTTTCCACTTTCCCAAACTGAAATCTATACCAAAATATCAGTAACTTCCCATTACCTCCCTTTCCCAGTCCTTGACAACCAGCATTCTACCTTCTGTCTCTGTGAAGATGACTGTTCTTGGTACTTAACATTTATCATTTGTGTCTTGCTTATTTTACTTAGCATTATGTCTTTGAGATTCATACATATTGTAGCAGGTTTAAGAATTTACTTCCATTTTAGAGTTGAATACTATTCTATCATATTCCACATTTTGTGTATCTATTGCCAGACACTTGGTTTGCTTTCACCTTTTGGCTACTGTGAATTATGGTTCCATTAACACGAGTATAAAAGGGGGCTGGGGCTGTAGCTCAGTAGCAGAGCACTTGCCTAGCATGTGTGAAGCACTGGGTTCAATCCTTAGCACCACATAAAAATAAAAAAAAACAAAGCTGTTTTGTCCATCTACAACTACAAAAAAATAAAATTAAATTAAAAAACATGAGTGTACAGATACCTGTTTAGTCCCAGCTTTTAATACTTTGGGGTATATATCCAGAAGTAGAACTTCTGTATCATTTATCAATTCTGCTTAGTTTTTTTGAGGAACCATTAGGCTATTTTACACAGAAGTTGCACCATTTTAAATTCCTATCAGTAGTATATAAATGATCTTAATTTTCCCACATATTTGTCAAAACTATTTTTTAAAAATAGTATTACAAATGGGTTTGAACTGGGAAATGGTATCTCACTATGTTTTTTTATTTGTACTTTTCTAATGATTAGTAATTTTGAGACCATTTTCATGTTATTCTTGGCCATTTATATATCTGCTTTGGAGAACTACCCATCTCCCTTTATTTTTCTGTATTAGGAACTGAACCCAGGGGTTCTTTACCAGCTACATCCCTAGTTAGCCTCCCAAGTCACTGGGGTTATAGGGATACACCATGTCTGGTGAGTCATTTACCCATTTTTAAATCAGGCTTTGTTGTTGTATTATAAAGTTCTTTATGGATTCTAGACAGTGATCCCTTATCATAAATATGACTTGCAAATATTTTCAATGCTGAATTCTATTCTTTAATGTACAAAATTTTTATAATTAATAATATATATAATTTAATAATTCTATTCTTTAATGTTCAAAATTTTTATAATTATGATTCAATCCAGTTTATCTACTTTTTTCTATTGTTTTATGAGTTTTGGTGTCAGATCTGAGAAATCATTGCCAAGTCCAATTATCAGGAATCTTTTCCCCCTCTGTTTTCTTCTAAGAATTTTTTTTTTGGGGGGTACTGGGATTGAACACAGGAATACTTTGCCACTGAGCTAAATTCCTAGTCCATTTATTTATTGAGACAAAGTCTCACTACATTGTTGAAGGGTCTTGCCAAGTTGTTCAGGATGGCCTTGAACCTGTGATCCTCCTGTCTCAGCTTCAAGTCCCCAGATTACAGGTATGCCCAGCTTTCTTTTATAACTTTAGCTCTTATGTTTAGGTCTGTGATCCATTGAGTTGGTATTGTATATGGAGTAAGGTAGTTCAACATAATCTCCTCGCACACTTTTGGTGGTTCTGGGGATCAAACCCAGAGCCTTGAACATGCTAAAACACACAGTCTACCACAAAGCTACATCTCCAACCCAACTTATTCTTTTGTTACGGGGATACAAAGTTTTCCCAACATCATTTGTGTTCCTCACTAAATGGTTTTGGCACCTTTGTCAAAAATCATCTGATGGGGCTGTGGTTGTAGCTCAGTGCAGGGAGCGCTTGGCAAGCACATGTGAGGCACTGGATTTGATATTGAGCACCACATAAAAATAAATAAAAGTATTGTGTCCATAGACAACTAAAAAAAAAATCATCTGACTACATATATGAGGATTTACTTCTGAGCTCTCCATTCTATTCTACTGGCCAATATGTCATGTCTTATGCCAGTAGGATCACACTATTTTAAATATTTTTTAGTTTTGGTTCAGAAGGTGTTTTTGATTGAAATATCTGCATGATTAAAAAAAAAACCCTAGGAATAGTAACTGAATTGGTTACAAAAAACTTCCCTTATGCTTTATTTACCTTCTTTTTTAAACTGATTTATTCCTGTGATCTCAGCAAGATACCAACAAGGAGCAGAAAAGTCACTGAACAAGTTCAGAGAAAAAGTATGGTGAAATAATAAGATGAAAAAATTTAAAAAGGTATCCATAGGCAGTCTTCAGTAATATGTAAAGAGTGTGCCTTCTCTAAGGAGGACCGAATGTATAAAGAGAGGGGGGAAAAAGGAGGGCTATGAGTTTCATGTATTCATTCAGAATATATTTCAATGGGCATTGTTTTAGGTCCCTGCAGTTAAGCAGCTTGTGGTCTAGGAGCTGTTGGTAGACACAAAGTAAGTAAAAAACTGTGAAAAAATTTAAGGAAGTTAATGACTACAATAAAGATAGCAAAGTAAAAATGACGAGTGGTCAGGGAAAGCCTTTTCTAGGAATACATATTTGATTTTAGACCTCAATAATAGAAGGAACCAGAATTGTCAAGATCTAAGAAAAAGAACATTCACGTAAAGAAACAGTGAGTGTGTGATGAAAGATTAAAAGAAGCAGTGAAGATGTAGTATAGTAGTAGAACCATAGCCCATTAATGAGTTATTATATATCAGGTATTATTTTAAGTCATTTTTATATGTGTAACAACTCCTTACAATGTTCCTACAAGATAGGTACTATTATCATTCCCATTTATAGATAAGGATAGTGAGCAAAGTTTAGAGTTAGATAGGGCCAGACTAAGAAGGCTTTATGGCCATAGTGAACTGTTTAGATTATATTCCAAGTCTAAGGGAAGCCAAAGGTGGGTTAGGTCAGTGAGGGATATTATCTAATTTATATTAGGAAAAGATCATTATACAATGGGTCTGGTGGCACCTATTTGGAATCTCAGCTACTCAGAAGGCTGAAGCAGGAGGATTGCAAGTTTGAGGCTAGCTAGGGCAACTAAGCAAGATCATTTCAAAATTTAAAAAATGGATAGCAATGTAACTCAGTGGTGGAGTACTTGCTTAGCATGCATGAGGCCTTGGGTTTGATCCCTGGTACCACAAAAGACATAAACAAACATCAGTATAGCTGCTATGGGGAGACCAGACTGTCAGGGCACAAAAGTGGCACCAAGCCTATCAGTTAAGAGAACACCACTACTGGGCTGGGGATGTGGCTCTAGTGGTAGCGTGCTCGCTTGGCATTCGCGGGGTGCTGGGTTCGATCCTCAGTACCACATAAAAATAAAATAAAGATGTTGTGTCCACCGAAAACTTAAAAAATTAAATAAATATTAAAAAAGAGAGAGAGAGAGAGAACACCACTACTGTCTAGGTAATGGAGGCTTAGACTATGTCTGCTACCAGGGAGATACAGAAAACAGGGTAGAACTTGATGATGGACTGGATGAGATGGCTCGAGAACACATTTCTGGTACCAGGACCTGGGTAGTTAAAGGTGCCATTAATTAAAATGTGGAACACTGAAACTATGTTATGGCTTAATCAAAAGTTTTTGTTTTGGATATGTTATATGTGAGTACAGATACCAAGAAAATAATTGGATCTAGTAAGACCTTCAACTTTTACTTACAGCTGTTGTAATATTTCTTTTTCTTTACCTGTTTTGTATTAATTATTTTTGCTTTTATTATATTTTGCTTTTTAAACCATTTCTGTTTTCCACTCTTTTTTCACTTCATTATTCCTATATCTTACCTGGCTTATTTCCTTTTTACCCTTTTCAGTTTCTAAATGGCAGGTAAACCCAAAAAAGGAAAAGCTGGGTACCTTTCTTGTTCCCTCAAAGCACACTTGGTTTCATTCTGATGACTCTTAATAAAGCAAATTAACCATATTTTAAAATTCCGATAATATTAAAATACTACCCACTCCACTTCCAAATAAAA